ACCACTAACATATTGTCTTCAGTTACATGTAGCCACTAACTTACTGTCTTCAGTTACATGTAACCACTAACATATTGTCTTCAGTTACATGTAGCCACTAACTTACTGTCTTCAGTTACATGTAACCACTAACATATTGTCTTCAGTTACATGTAACCAATAACTTACTGTCTTCAGTTACATGTAACCACTAACATATTATCTTCAGTTATATGTAACCACTAACTTACTGTCTTCAGTTACATGTAACCACTAACATACTGTCTTCAGTTACATGTAACCACTAACGTACTGTCTTCAGTTATATGTAACCACTAACATATTGTCTTCAGTTACATATAGCTATTAACGTACTGTCTTCAGTTACATGTAGCCACTAAACCACTAACGTAACTTACTAGTGAGTTCTGGTTTTTATTCAAACTGTTTTAAAGTTTTTCACAATGTGTTATCAAAGTGCATTAGGCATTTTCAAGCTAAGTGAGAGCCTTAATTATAAGAACTTAAGACTTTTGAGAGTTGTTTGAAACTAAAAATAGTGGTTGTAGAAAAAAGGACAGAGACTGAAGCTTCTAAGCAACCAGCCTTTCCGTGTGTTTTAAGAGATGCTAAGATTGACTGAAACGTTCCACGAACAAAAACAAACACGGTTTTTATTAAGGAGATCAGCCTTTATGGCGCACGTAGTTTATTTCAATTAAAAGCTGTGGTTTTTCTAAGCAGGACATTGATTTATTTCATAATAGTATTGGAAAAGAACCTTGACAGCTCACCACACAGTTACATATCCAGTTTTAACTAACGCAGGCTATAATTAAGTTCAAGTTATGAAGCCAGTCTTAAGATATTTTTTTTGTGTGTGTTTTTAAACCAGAACACATTTAATTCTGTCGTATAAACAAAAGGTTTTGGCTCGAATTTAATATCTCTTCCCAATGTCTATGTTTAAATGGTTTAACAAAAATAACAACACGTTACAGAAGCGATTTGTTTCATGAACAACGTATTAGTACTTTTCGAACTTTTTTATTTGTCCTTAATTATTAATTTTTAATGGATGAGCTACAGTGTTAGCAGTTTCTATTGTTCCATCCCGGGCTTTTGTTCGAAAAACTTTGTTCTTATCAAGCCTGTATTCTTATTGGTCCATCGTCTTTTGGTAAAGTTTCTTTTTCTTACACTATAGTATGTAGCTGGTCTGGCGTGTTATTCCTATGGTAACACCTGGGCTTTTGTGAGTCTGTAGAATTTTTCGTTCTAAGCTGGCAGAGTCTGTTAGACTTGGCCTCTCATTTCCATGGCTACATTCGTGTCTTTGTAGATAAAATTATATTCTTCAGAAATCGGGTGATATCTGTGGCTTCATTAATGTTCTTTCAAATCAGACGACACCTGCTGGGTTCTACTGCACTCTGAGTGGCTCGTTGAGTATGTGGTATACCTGTAACTTTGAAGAGAAACACTCTGTTCCTAAGAATCTCCACATCTTTTGATGCCAACATCCGATGTGTTTTATTTATTACGAACGTTTTAGCCTAATCCTGACGCTCTATGGTAACAAGTATGATAATTTATCAAGTAGTAGACTGCAAATAAATAAATAAATAAAGAAATAATCCTCCTGTGATGAATTACAAACGTTTAAGTGAAAAGTGATGGCGTTGTAGTTATAACACTGTGGCTCTGACGTTGAATCGTATATATTCAGTTACAATAGGTTTTAATCTCGATTATGTCTTATCTATGTGACCTACGACCTTAAACCTTATCTTAGTGACATTAGATCCTGACTTTGGATTATTTATGCGATTTTTACATTTAACCCTTGACTTATTTTATATGATTACGGCATCAGGTCCTTGCTTGTAGGTTGGCTTATGTATGTGACCTTGATTGTAGGTTAGCTTATGTATGTGACCTTGACACTTGATGTTAACCTCTAATACAGCTTAGATTTGACAAATTTATTAACGGAAAATAGAATAAACGTGGAGAAATCAGTTTATTTATTACGCTGAAAACCTTACAAAGTTATATATATATATATATAGCCAAGTTGTCCTTCTGTATGTCTGTCTGAGGTCAGAGGTTGCTGTGAGGAACTGGCTGAACCGATTTCGATGAAATTCAGTAGGGTAAGTTAAACGGACTTCTTAAAGATCAAATATCAATCGGGTAAACGGTTTGAAATCCATTTAAACCTTACCGTTTTAATGCTACTATTATAATATGACCTCATTTGAGCGAGGAGGTCAGTAGCAAAACACGTGGAGCCAACGCCTAATGAAAATGAAGTTACACAGGTATTTTCGTATCGGACGAACAGTTGGGTGCCACGGCTCAAAATAGTGGAAGGTGGCGACACACGCCATCGCTTATAACAATATTCCTAAGCCACGCGTTGCCGAATACCTTTGAAAGTTTGGCTAAAGATGATAAACGTTTATTAGCCCAACGGAAAAGCTGGCTATGTGGCTAAACTTTGGAGCCAAGTTACACTTTATCAGATTCTCTAATGGAGATTAACATTTTATATCGCGAGTTATAGATCGTTGTAGAAAGATAAACATATCAAATAGCGAAGTAAGATGGAGCTCCAGAGAAGGCGGGAGAAGTGTTCTATTATTGATAACAAAAACACAGCTTTCTTGATGACGCTCAGGTGAACGTGAGGCGTAAAATTAACGTGCATGCAATACAGTTGTGATGGAAGAAAAAAATATGGAAGATGAAGATAACTGAAAAGGGCCGTGGGTTTTCATTTCAGTGGACCAGATGAATAAGTCTGAGCCCATTATTGTACCGTGCTTTCAAGAATCAGCAACGCTTGTTATACATTTTTTCTATCAAATAAATTATATTAACGTGGTATACGTAAAGTAGGGCTAAATCACACACACAGTAATGTTTTGTGTGTGTGTCTCTATAGGTCAACGTCACATTGAAGAGAAACGTATTATATCGTAATCTATTGTTTAGAAATATGTGACCTTCGACGTGGTCAATAGGGCGCTTGTATCACAGGGGTGGTAAAAATGTAATCTGTATCACATTGAGTGGTCAAGAAGTCATCGGCATAACACTTACTGGTCAAGAGATGAGCTATATTACAGTGCGTGGCCAAGAAGTTATCTGTATCACAGTGAGTGGTCAAGAGGTCATCCGTATATCATTAAGAGGTCAAGAGATGAGCTATATTACGGTGAAATGTCATCTGTATCATACTGCGTGGTCACGAGGTCATCAATATCAAGCAAGCGATACTCTCGCCTTTACAGGTTGAAACGACTGCTAATGTAATGTACGTATGTATGTATGACGGTCCTTAGAGAGAATAGCTGAGCTAAGCAAATAGAAGTCAGGACGCAATATTTGCAGCTGGGATCACCACATGCCACCCGAAACCATGCCTGTTTAAGTCAATAACTAATCAATAGTCATCGAGAGTGAGGGTTCCTGCGGGCATCTCGCCTCACTCCCTGAAGGAGAACGGT